GCTGCTCTTAGTGAATTTCCTTAAATCATGGCAAGATGCTGACCTTAAAAAAAAAGAATTCACTCATCATGTTTGACCCTGCAGTTCAGCCATTACAATTTGCTTTATGCTTGCTTTCTCGGTAATGTCCTCTTTCAGAAGATCTCCACTAACACATGAACTGAACATCTGCATGTATCCAACACACACATAATTGTGTGTGTATATATATATATATATATACACACACACACACATACTCCAACCAGCTTTCTTTAATTAAGCTACATTTATTTATGTCTGTAAAGGTACAAAGCATCAAGCCACCAGTTCTGCAGTTCCTGAGTTTGTACAGGAACTTTTCCAATGGGCTTTTTTTTTTTAACAAGACTCCCCATTTTATGTATTATTTTACCTGGAGAATAACGTTTGACCTGCAAGGTTGCAGTCTCTGTCCTTATCTTGCCTACGCTTGCTGTTTTTCCATAATTCTTTTCTTCGAGTTGATTATATTTTTCTTCCTTTCTTCTTCTTTTTGCTCAGTGTGCAGTACATGTATCCTGTAACTGTTATAGATACATGGCATAGTTTACATGCTTACACACATGTGCATACACAGTCTTTTCAGGCTTAAGTATTGGCAGCTACTTGTATAATTGTTCCAGTTGCAGGCTGTTAAATCAGCAGGCCTCTTGTCAGCTGTGACCTCATTAATGTTGCTGATCATGCTCTGGCTTACTAAGTTGTTGATAATCGTTTCTTTGTATGTGTGTACAGGTGTGCGTGTACATGTGTTGGCAGGCAAGTATATACCGATGAGCCAAAACATCATGACCACTCAGTGAATAACTTGGATTATTTCAGAAAAGCAATGGATGTTAAGAACTGGGATTTATTAGATGGTAGGTCAGTTCTCATAGCCAGCATACTGGATGTGGAAGAAATGGGTAGGCGTAAAGACTTGAGTGTTTTTGACAAGGGCCAATTTGTTATTGCCAGATGACTGGGTCTGAGCAGTTCTGAATCAACAAGGCTTGTGAGGTGCTGCCTAGCAATAGTAGTCTCAGAGGAGATAAACTGATAATAGCTGGTTGGGCCCTCAAGGCACAAGGACAATGAAGGTTGCCTCCTTTGAGGCTAGTGTGACACAAGTCACCGAACATTTTAATCATGGTTATGAGCAGAATCTGTTGCAATCGTGCATTGCACTATGTTGCTAACCCCTGTCCACCATCTAAACTGCCTACAATGATCACAAGAGCATTGTAACTGCACTGCAGAGCACTAGAAGGAGGGCACCTAGTCCAATGAGTGTACAAGACAAGCCAGCGGAGGGAGTGTGATGCTCTGAGCAGTGTTCTGCTGGAAAACCCTGGGTCTAGACATTCATGTGCCACCTAGAGCAGGAGAACTTGAAGGATCTTTTGCCACATATTGGTGCCAGATACCACAGAGCACTTTCAGAGTTCTTGTAAAGCCAGTGCCTTAGTGGGCCAGAGCTGTTTGGGTGACGTGGTATACCAACTGCATATTAGGCAGATCAAAATGTTTTGACTCATCTAGGTACATGTTTGAAAATGTTATTTTGTGTCTGTACAGGTATGTGCATTGTTGTGCTATTGTGTGTCTATGTACATTTGTGTACGGCCTCTGTAAGGCAGCAATCACAGCCTGTTGGAGCCCCAGCTGTATTTGTCTAAATATAGTCGTGGCCACAGTCAGGCCAGACCAGGAAGCTGATTAGCCTGAGAACCAATGGCCAGAATGGATCTCAGCTATTATGATGTGAAAAGAGTTTGGACACGGGGTTACCCAGAGGCTGTTGGAATGGAAAAGTTAGTGTAAGTAGGGCTACCTTATGCTAGTAGTAAGATTACATGCTAGATGGCTTTGAGTCATGCTTGGAACTAACAAAAAAAATATTTTGTGAGGCTTCTATGTTAAGCCTGCTCACTTTTAAATTTCACTCAGTCATTTTAATGACTTAAAATAATTTGCCATCTCTGCTTTATGTCCACATTTGAGCATGTGCACAGAGGAAACAGACTAAGTAAAGAGCACCACAGCTGGTATGATACTCATGACGCTGACTCTCGACCTCTGCACAACACCATTCCTGTTTTGCCAGATTTTGACATGGGCAATGGACAGAAAAGACATTGTGCAACCTGTTAGCCAGCCACCAAGCAAAGTACTCAGTAAGTCCACCAATTGGCCTGTCCTAGCCTTGGTCCAGTTCTTTGTCACTCAGTCATGGTACCAGCGGTGGACAGGTCAGGAAATGAGACCTAATGTTGTTGACATACTGTACACCAGAGGAAAGCATATTTCATTGGCTGAAATGGAAATGCCTTTTCGTAGCTCTTGACTAATTTTGATTTCCTCTTGACTTTTTCCTGGTGGCCTCTGAGTTTTAATAAAAAGTTATTTTACTTAAAGGACTACTATGAGGTCAGTGGCAGGCTTTTCAATGAGGTACTTAACTTCAAGCCAATGACCTGATTTCTTAAATTATGAGTCACGATCCAAAATGGGTTGTGGGCCCAGTTCTGGTGGGTCTTAGCTTTCTAAAAGTAGAAATGTGTTTTGATGAGATGTGCTTTATAGACTCTTGTGAGATGTATTTTAGTGTAGTGATTTATTACTGCTGCAGCAGGTATTGGTTTAGCTATTTTTACCTCATAGATACTTTTGTTTTTATCAAAGCCTGTGGTAACATTGAAATAGCTGCTTGCCAGAAAGCTGTTTACCATGTTACAGCAAGAAACACTGACTGTGCCAACTGCTTAATGAAATCTGACGGGTGTCTGGCTGTCCTTGCGTCTAACATTCCAAAAACACCCTAATGAGAGTTTCTGCTTCTCATTTAGCTCCAATGTTCAAGTTGCTTTTTGCAAAGAAGTGGGCATAATATAGTAAAAACAGGTGTGTAATTAAAATTTTAGGCGACCACATGGGCATGACAGCTCCCCCGAAACACTATAAACACTGGAATAAGCCAACAAACTTTCATCCCTTGCCAGTCCTCCTATTGAAGTGGCTTTGCAGGCACATTTGCTCTGCATGTGGGGACATTGTTGCTGCTGGGACCCCTTTCTTTTGTTCAGCGGAGATATCCAGCTTTGTGTACACACAGAGGCATGCACATGTTTGAACATACAAAAACACACATGTAAATTGGTTTGATTGATGTCTTGCTGTATAGCATGTAGCAGTAGTCATTTTTAATAGGAGAGAATAATGACATTGCATGATTCACCAGTGTGCCAAATGCACCACATGTTGCCCAGGAATTTCAAAATGTGTCGAGGTAAACCCGTTGACCTTGTCAGGTTTGGAGTTTCATTTGTTTTTTCTGTACTCTTATATCTCTCTTTATCAAACACTTGCTTTTTGTCTCATAGTAGTGCCCCCTGAGACAGCAAGCGCTTAAAAGCTCTGGGCCTGACTGTGCACAGCTAACAGTTCATGTCACCCAGCCGAACCACCCAGGAGCGTAACAAAGGTAAAGATAGAGACACAGAGAGAGACAGGGAGGGAAAAAGGAGGAGTTAAATGACTGCAGAGCATCTGAACAGAGGGAGAGACCCTGTGACATATCCCACACTCTGAACTGGGAGCAGACCAATATGGATGTGTGAGTAAACGAACTGTGATGCTTTTTACTGACACACTGCAGCCATCTCTGGAATTAGTCACAGATCCATTTTCCTTGAGAGTGCTGCTCAGAGGGCAGAGACTCTTTGCCTCCATCACATTATGAAGCTCAGCAAGTGTATGTGCCCTCCCTCCCCACAAAAACAAAATTGGACGTATACGTGCAGGGGGCACTGCCAGTCCTCAAAAACACAACCCAAGAACCTCTCAAGTTCATAGAACAGAAGAGAGGAAAACCGGAGTGAGACAAAAGAGGGTTGTTTACCAGCATTTAGTTCTAGGCTCCCTGAGTGTTTTTCTAGTGTGTGGTGGTTCCTGTGTAAAGGGAATTTTTGGTGGGGGTGGGCGCAGAGGCGAGAGAGTGAGTTGTGGACAGAGATGAGTATTCATGATTATGACAAATGCACCATCATTCTCAGCACTGTGTATAATGCCATGCCTTTGGTGTGTGTGCGCATGTGTGTGGGAATCCCTCTTTCTACTCTTGCTGATGTCATAGGAGCCATGCTGATACAGCCTGGGTAGAAGTGGAGCTTTGAGACCCGATTCAGGGAATTGAAGGACGGTATATACTGTATGTGTCGGATTGTTTGCCTGTGTGGTATCAGAGATGTGTGAAAAGTGTGTTTTGAAAGTGTATCGTTATGAATGAGAGTAGGCAAGGGAGTGAGACAAACATTACAAAAGCAGAATTAAAGAAGTGAAAAAAGTGTCTGTGTGTCAGATGATAGATGAGAGCATGGTCCACTGAGGTTCTGATGGACAGGGGGCTGGAGGACTCCATCAGACTGTGCTGTTACCTCATTTCCCTGAACACCCAACTCACCAACTCATTTGCTTTTCACACACACACACACACACACACACACACACATACACATACATACACTCACACAGATCCTCTGCCTCCACTTTTGGAGACAGATGAAATGTTAAATGCATAAAGATTCTTTTCAGGGTCAGGTTTCTGGGCTGTACATCTCTTCACATAAATCATCATCACAGTTTTGACGGAGGGAAGAGAAGGGTCGACAGCAAAAACCACCTACCTGCCAAGTAACTAAGGAAAGCTTGACTTGCACTTGGTACTTCTTCAGTTTGCTGTTGGAATCTAGTCCTACCTATTTGGCCCTTTGTGCTATCAATGAGCTGTTTTATATTGCAATGTAATATTGATGGATTTGTGGAAGTTCTGAACCATTAGTTTCCACTGGTGTGTGTTTCATTCAGTGTATGTTAGCATTTATGGGCAACTTTTCATTCTTTCATTTATTATTGTCACTGTATCCTGACACTCTCTCTCCTTCACCCCATGTACTCTCTCTCATCTTACTCTTTCTTTGTGTGTTTTCCCTTTCTTGCAGGAGCAAAAGGTCTTCGGTCCCCACCACAGAGATTATTTTTGAGCTTCCACATTTTACTGTACAGGCCACAAGGGCCCAGACGATTTTGCTCCAATCAATTTGTCAGAGCTGGACCCACAGCACAATCAGGGGATCTCCACTGACACTCAGCGAAAGCCTGCTCAATGAGGTGTATAAAGCTCCAGGTAAACAACATGCTCAACATAGATCATATGAAGTTATTTAAACTTGCCTGTTCTTCAACAGAAAGTCTCATAAACACAATCATGTAGATTCATGGATTTCTGATACCTGACCAAGGTAATAATCTGGGTCTTTTTTGCTGATTTCTGAGCAACTACAGCAGGGAAAAAGTGCTTTCAGGGCTGTCTTACTGCAAACCCAACTCTTTCCAACAGACAAGTGGTTGCTTTAGGTGTTTGAAGAAAAAGGGCCTCTGTTTATCACAGAGGACAGAGGTTGCTTTCCAGTGCATACGTTTGTAATTGCTTAGCAAGGCACTAGGGTTAGTGTGCGTTTTTTATTTTTTCATAATTCACTTGGTATTTTTGAGTAGCCATTATAATTCTGCAATGACAACTCAGTCATTTGGCAAAATAAAAAAGATACCCACACAGAAGATTAATATCCTTTAATGGCTCATTTAGTAATTCAACCATGAAAAGTCCGTGAACAATGAACAAACTGCATCACTTTGCTCATCTGGTCTCTGTTAGTATATTGTATTAGATGTTCATGCATTCATCATTGTAGTTGATTTATTGAAATCTCCCTTTTCTCAAAATGCTTTTACTCTCCTCTGTTTGTTTAGTCTATTTCAATAAAATCCCGTTTCTTAGCACCAGTAACTAGTCAAATAGACATATGTTACTGAATGCAGCTTAAAATTATTTAGCTTTTTATATGAAACGTTTTACAGTTACTCCTCAGGGCTCAGCACATCATTTGTCAGACTATCATTCACCTAAAATAAGTCAACCTGATAGTAGCCAGTGTGCTACAGGCAAATGGGCTTTAGGCCCTGTAGCAAGAATGCAAACACATACCCAGAACTTAAGGTCTCCAAATGTACACTTTCTCATGAGATACTTTGGCATAAAGATCAACTTGTTTTGTGCCCAGTTTGGGGTACTAGACCTGCATCCAAGGGCAAATGAACTCTGAAACTGTTTTACGCTTCATGTCGCCTAGAATGTACTGTATGAATGGTCAAATAATAAATTTTGTCCCTTTTTAAAGAAAAGGAGGGGGGCCTGAACGCAATAAAACAGTAGCATTTCTCACGACAGTAGCATCTGGACAGTCCTCTGGAGGGCCAGGGATTTTCCAACTCATTAGGATCGTGTTGTTTGGTATGCCGTCAACATTGTCCCTTGGCCAAGCCGCCCAAGCTACCTTCTTCACTGTTGTGTAGCTGCCAAAATTTATGAAGCTGGTCTCCCATGGAGTGAAGTCAAATATTCCTCTCCCCTCTCTGCCTTTCTGTTGGAACAGAGCTTGACTAGCAACATGAAGAAACATTTGCACATCTGGTTCATGTGCTGGCAGGTTAGAAAGAGAGCAAGGGGGGGCAATAGATGATGTATTGTGCAAGTATATTTTTAGTGGGGGAAAATAACTGCATTAATTTCTGTGATATAACCAAATATGTTTAGTACTGTCTCTGCTGTAGAAACTCTGGTGACATTCATAGGTCTTAAGGAAGATGTTAGCTGTCCCGGTGCTTCTCAGTCTTTGTGTGACAGCTTAAGCATGTCACACAGGATAAATGGAAAAAGAGGAGAAGCAAGCAGTGAAGATGAGTTTGCAGAGTGGAATGAAAATGATGTGGACTTTTTTGAACTATGTTTTGATAGTGCATCAGCCTCACTCCCACTGCAACCTTCCTTAATAGTCCTTGTTCCTGTGGGCCCTGTGGTTGTGTCCACACTGTAATGTTATGGTGGGGCCTTGCTGGCTTCCTGCCTTCCCACCAACGTCTCTGCTCTATTTTGCACTGTGTTGTTTCCTTAACTAAGACAAACCTGGTGTGTTTTCTCCAAAGGCCTCCTAACTCCTTATGAAAAGCTCACTGGAGATGGTGCTCTTCGTTTTTCATTATTTAAATTTGTCTAATGACAAATATGGGGGCCATACCGTTAAACTGCTGAGATTGCGCTACTTACAGTACTTGGCCCTCTTTGTGGTAACAGCGGTTACAATCTTAGCTGCCTTACTTGGGTGCATTTTTCCCCTGGTGTGACTTACCAGCTGACTGTCTGCCACTGTTTGTGGTAAAAGCGTTGTGTCTGTTATAACACTTAGAAGATTCAGATCTACGTCCAGGTTTACTGTAAGTCCAGTGTTCGTTCTTGTGTCACCAACTAGCAGTCATCAAGCCACTGCCAGAACAGAGCTGACACACATGCTCAAGCTGAGGCCAAACAAAAAACGTGGCAAACAAAAACTGTTCTCTTTGAGCATGTGCTTTTTTCATTCCCTTAGGAATTCCTCATCTCTTTGTCCTTTTGATGTTATGGGTTTTTCAACAGTGGCAGGTCTAGCTGATAACACAGATGGTGAGTGTCCTTCACAGGGAAGTCACGTGGGTGGGATTTTATTCCTTGTCTGAAGTAAATTCTGCATTTCAGCAAGTGGAAAAACTTAGAAAACAAAGCTTTACTTTTAATCTTAAGGTACTGACAGACTGTAAAATGTCCTTCAAAATAACTGGTAGGCTCAGATTAATGTATCATTCAGAGACTTAAAAATCATCACAGCTGACTGGAACACTGCCACTAGGATTTGTAAGGCTTCAAATTATTGTGTTGCCCAATGGTAGCTACAGCAGTAACCCAGTGAGCAGCATATGCAATATAGCCTGTGTTTGTTCGGCAAGCCCAGAGAGATGAGTGAAATCAGAACACAAACCATAAAATCTTCATTTCTTCCTTCAGAATCTGACATTGTCAGTCACTGCTGTTATATGGCAGGATGATTTTTTTTCATTCATTTCCACTGCTGCTGTAGTGTCCTTGATTCAGACAAGAGTACAGTTCAAGTTTTGCCATCACCTTTTGCGTTCCACTGAAGCTCACACAGTGTTGTATTTTTTTGAACAGCTCTGTGGCAAACGGTATATCATACTTTGTCTGGTGAGAGTGGTCCATAATGAGGTGTGTGTGTGTTTGTTTTTTGTGTACACATTAGTATAAGCATTCTTGCAGTATGTGCCCCCTGCCCCTCAGCCTTGTCAGCTACTCAGTGAGGGTAATAACTGCTTTTTTCAGCTCTGGCCCACTGCATTCCCTCCTTCATTCCTCCCATTTCTATTTCAAAATTGACTCATCTTTCTTGTTTTCAGTTTTGCTTTTTGTTTTTGCTTTTTCTCATACTGTTTTTTTTGTCCATATTTTAAATTCTATGCTGCTAACATCATTTTTCTCCCCCATTCTCTCCCTTTTTCCATCTAATCCTGTTTTTTTTTCTCCTCTTTCATGATTGTCAGCAGCCAGCTTGTCCTGTATGTTCATTTTGTTTATACAGAAGTGCCAGGATGCTATGGTGGTTTGCAATAGCAGCCATAGTCGAAGAGGAGCCTGTAATTCCTACCTGCCACTGTTAACCCCAGATTCAGTGACACACACTGACCACAGTGACCCCACATACTGTTCGAGTCTGCATGGATTTGTGAAAGAGTATACAATATGTTGTGCATCTAATTTGGTATAGGGAACATGTAATCTCAGTGCACAAATCCATTTGGTCATTAGTCACAATATTTTGGATATTCAAGAGCTGGACACATTTGCGTAACCTGTGTTTGGTTTCTCTTGCACATTACATTATTCCCGAATCTTGTAGAAATGGCACGTTTCCAAGCTATGCACATACTGTAGGTACCTTTGATAATGCCACTGGAAAAAGAGAACAGCTATTTAGCAATCACTATATGGAAAACAATAGGAGAAATGTAAAAGTTTACATAATATAGACACCATTATCAAGAAAAGGCAAAATCACCGTCTGTCTGTCCACTGTCTGTTTTCATAGTTATCTGCCCCCTGTATTTTAATCTCACTCGGTGCTTAATAAAAATGTTGTCAAATTTAAAAACTGTCATGCATCTTAGTGACTCGGGTTTTGAAGAAATCTAGTTTGCCGTGAACACGCAATCTTTTTTTTTTCATTGTTTCCTGTTGATGATAGCTTTATTGGATTTTGATTCATGCACTTTTTTCAACATTGTACATATCTTTCAGTTTCTTCAGGTGTATTTATAGCTCAGTACACAGTGATGATTCACAGAGCTCACCTACAGATGGTAGTACTCTGGCCTGGTGGAATATGCACTGGCGATCCTTTACTATGCTTATTATGACTGTGGTTGTGAAAATATTGTTGTTTGCCTTCTACATATGTGTATTTGTTTGTGCACGACCATTTGCCTATTCACTTGCATGCCTGGTTATGTGATTTTTGGGTTTTTGCACTCTGCCTCATTGAAAAAGGCAAGGCAACTGTATAGACAGTGCCTTCAGAAAGTATTTAGTCCACTTTTTTCATAATACAGTATATTGTATTGAAGATGGGGCAGCACGGTGGCGCGGTGGGTAGCACCGTTGCCTCACAGCGAGAAGGTTCCAGGTTCACGACCTTTCTGTGCGGAGTTTGCATGTTCTCCTCATGCTTGCGTGGGTTCTCTCCGGGTACTCCGGCTTCCTCCCACTGTGCAAAGACATGCGGCCTAGGTTGATTGGTGACTCTAAATTGCCCGTAGGAGTGAATGTGTGTGTGTGTGGTTGTTCGTCTGCATGTTGGCCTGTGATGGACCAGCAACCTGTCCAAGGTGAATCTGTCTGGGATTGGCTCCAGCCGCCCGTTCGGGACTAAGTGGTATAGAAAATGAGTGAGAGTGAGTATTGAAGATGGAATCTTAAAAAAAATTAAAATTGAGTTAAATATTGTGAGTTTTAGGTTTAGAGTAATGTAAATCAAATGCTTAGAATGTGAAAAAAAGCAAATAAAAAAAAGAGCAATTCTGTGGTTTAGTTGTGTTGTAGGTCCTGGAACACACTCCTGAATGAAATGCATAATAAGTACCCAAAAAAATGGAAGTGGGGTGAGGAAGATACTTAATTTATAGCTGGGGAAGTAAAGCTAATTTATTGTCCACATAAATCTCCAGTAGAGTACATCTCAGCCC